GAACACGGCCACACAGCCCGGAAGACCCACACCAGCCATCGTATGCCGGCCGTGAAAGCCTTCGACAATACACTTACTCATTTACTTACTCCTTCCTTCCTTCATCTATCCCAACCCACAGACTCTGGATAGCATACAATAAAATAAAAAAATCAAACAAACGAACAAACCAGAATAACAACATCACTGAAATTCCATGGATGGCCCCCAGAAACATTAAAGCCCAATTAAAAGGAATTGTGTTGCTGTAACACCTTTATGAAATCTCAGGAGGGAAGAAGCTTCTCAAAACCTTCTACAGTACAAGATGTTCCAAAGTACAGGATGACAACAGAGAAGTCTGCTGCCTGGTCTATCTGAAGATCCCAAGGTGCTATAAGTTGCTGGACAAGACAAGACAGAGCAACCAGCTGATTCTCTGTTGGCCCTTACACTAACTCTGGATGGGGCTGCACTCCCCATGAAGAAGCAGGTCAGTAGCTTGCGGGTCTTCCTGGACTTGTGTCTCCTTCAGCAGGTAGAGCTTTGGCTGGTATTCCTGCAGTAGCCCTTTTCAGAGCAGGAGGCCTTAGCAACAGTCACTTACACCCTTATTACTTTGAAGTTGGACTACTTCAATCTACTTTACTAGGGGCTGCCCTTGAGGACTACAGGTAGCCCTCGAGTTACAACAGCAATTGGGACCGGAATTTCCATCACTAAGCAATGCAGTTGTAAAGCATGATATCACGTGACCACATCACTTAGTGATGGCTGTCTCCCTTGTCATCGTTAAGCAAGTACCTCCTTGCAACTTCCTGCCGGCTTCCAATAACCAAAGTCAGTGGGGGAACCGGCAGGAAGTTGCAAGTTCCAGGATGCTCGCGAGCAGGTGGGTAAGTGGCTGCTGCCAGGTGGGAGGAGGGAGGGGGTGTATGGGTGGCCAGGAAGGCGTGGAACGAGCACAGCGGAGCTTGGGGTGGCGACTGCCGAGTGGGAAAGGGTGCAGGACTGGCAGGAAAGGTGTGGCGCAAGCGCAGTGCGGCTTGGGGTTGCTGCTGCCAGGTGGGATAGGGTGTGCGAGTGGTGGGGGAGGCACAGTGCAAGCGCAGCAAGGCTTGGGGTGGTTGCTGCCAGGTGGGGAAGGTGCGCAAGTAGCAAGGTGTGGTACAAGCACCGCAAGGCTCGGGAAAGGTATGCAGGCGGGGGCAACTTATGCAAGCATTTTGCAAACTTCCTTGCCAGCTTCCCTACTGAATGTGCTTGTGGGAATATGGCAGGGAAGGTCACAAATCGCGATCACGTGACTGCAGGATGCTGCAACTGTCATAAGTGTGAGCCAGTTGCCAAACACCCAGATCATGATCACCTGACCACAGAGGTGCTGGGACTTCAAGGACTGGTCGTAACCACCATTTGTTCAGTGCCATTGTAACTTTGGTCACTGAATGAGTGGTGGTGAACTGAGGACCACCTGTTGTACTTGGAAACTTCAACTGCTGCATAAATGGAGTAGATAGCCAGAATAGTGCTATGCCGATACTATAGGTACTACATTACCTGCCAGTTTGCTTCTGGGTACAATTCAAGTTGGTTGCTATTATTTTTTAATGCCTACATTGCTTTTGTCCAGGCTACTTACGGGACCACCTATTCCAGAGGAACTCGATCGTTTCTGTTCAAGGCATCCATGAAGGACATTCTGGGTTGCCTTCCTTGAGAGCTCAAGTGGGGGGGCAGGGGGTGTATGTATGTGGACCTAGAAACATTTTTTCAATTCCTTTTTCATCCCAGCAAAATGTGTTATCTCCTGAAATCAGTATAGTCCACACAGTCCTATTTTTCCACAGAACCACAAAGGTCTGACTATTTAAGAGAGCATTTTGACATTAAAAGTTTTGGTGTGGATTTTTTTTTAACCTTCATATGCGTTTCTGTCATATTTTGTTTTATATTATTATTATTATATTTATGATATGATTATTATTATTTCATGTTACTTTATTTGGATTTAGTTACCCAGAATGTATAAAGCTGGGCAGGACATAAATAGAAAGCTAGAAAGTAATAAGTACATAAACAAGCAAGCAAGTTTGCTACCTAGTTTTGGGAGAGAGGCTCAAAGAATCTATATACATTCCTGGGCCTCAAATCAGACACTTCTTTTATAAGATAATCTGGTAAAATATTTTTTTCACGTTTTAATACTTGCCGTTTTGCCACCTTTACCAATAACTCTACCAGCAGCATAGGATGGCACTTTTATATGAGCTTCAAGTTTCACTTCTTCTTTAGGTCCAAAGAAATTTTCTTCCTTAAGTTTCCCATAGATTCTCCCTTGGGCCTTTAAAATAAAAAGCAAAACTTGTCCAACACTAAATTACAGAAGGTAGTATATAGACTGAATTTCTGTGATTCTTCCACCATGCTCATTTTCTACTATCAGAATAGCAGAAAAACAGCAGAAATAAATCCCAAGCAGAAATCTTAAATTGATTTTTTTCATCAACTGAATAATTTAATATCAAAACTACTAACTCAAGCATATTAGAACATAATTTCCTAGAAGGATGGTTAATAGTTGTTCAAGCATCACTGGGTCTTAAAAGAGCATCAGAAACATTGAAACTGATTTGCTGTGTTAATTTGTCAGAGATTAACTTGCATGCAGCCAATGGCAGCGATCAATAGAATATGCCTCTCAAGACTTTTTTTTAATCACTTTTTTGGAAGATATATCTCCTATTTGAACGATGCAGCAAAAGATCCAGTAAAAAATATTATTACAAGTTGGCCATAAGTGAAGAAATATGGGTGCATTTTGCTCCATGCACAATATAACCTCTCTTATCCAAAACTTTAAATAATTCCAAAGCATTGTTTGCCTCAGGCAACTGCCTGAAATGTAGAAAAATTGTTCTTATCTCACTACTGCGTTAAAGGATTTATAAGGCCTTTATTTAACTCAGTCAAACTGTGCAATTTGGCACTGGTGTCATCTTTTAACATAATTAAACTCTCCAATTATTCTCAAACATTTACAGCTTTAAAAATCACAATGACAGTTCACTGTGCAGCATTTTTGTATTTATAAGCAGCTTAACAGTATCTGATTATCTAATTCAAACAGTAAAATGTTGAAACTATGTTCAGAAATGTAGCAGTTCCACAGCTTTTTTGAGTATTCAGAGTGCTATGGTTACATGGAAGCATTGTTTCTGTAACCCAGGTGTAGGAAAACTTCTCAGCAGGTGAGACCATTCTGATGGCCAAGGGCTAGAGAAAGTTTTCCTTCCCCCATCTCATGACCTAGAAGTGAAATGAAATCACATTTTTGGAGGTTTGTCACAAAAGTTTGGTTGTATGATTTTGGGGGGCACTGAGGACTGCAAAACAGGGGAATAAGGTGACATGTTATTTGCATATCCCTGCTCTACACTGTCATTTCCTGCTGAGTGCTGTAAATACTACTTATTTCTCTTGTCGGGGCAACGTTTTTTAAAGCTGACATATTTTTCCGGCTTACATTTGTAACCAAGTAATTAGTACATGTTTATAAAAATTAGACATGGACAACTGCACAGAAGTTTAACCCGTCCTCTCCATATTCTATTATTTACCTAAAACTACAACTTATTTGAATATAAAACAATATTCCCAGAAAGATTGAAGAATTAGATATAGACTTTAGTAATGTATCTCCAATTACCCCAAAATCAAACAAAACAAAACAAAACAAAAAAACCCCAAAACATTCAGCATTAGATACTTTAAAATGATACCTTGAACTGGGCCTCTGGTGGTCCAGTAATTATCACCATTCTCAGTTTGGCATCTGGTCCTTCAGCAGGTGCAATCTAGAACACAAGTGACATATTTAAGAGATTATTAGATCCTCCTCTGCCCCACGGACTCTAATGTAATAAGCATTTTAAGAAAGAAAATACACTTGTTATTTCAACCCTAGAACACATTGGTTAAAAATCTTTTTATGAGGGTGAGCTTCCAAGTTAGGTTCTACGGTGGACTAGACATCTCCAAAGGAGCGGAGATGGCACTGTGGCAGTGAATGGCGGCCAGCAGTGATTATCTGGCTCGGTCTTTCCAGATAAAGGAGAGACTGAGAGATTGCCCACTTGCACTTTGCTGCTCCTTGTGAGGAGACTGCAGGATGGATGTCCTGTGGTTTTCTCATTGAGTAGAGAAGCAGGGGGTCAATGGAGAAACAGGGCGCTCGCACATGCAAGCTGCAGCCTTTTAAAGGACACTAAGTTCCACCAAATCCTCACTTTCGGATACAATCAATTTACAGTTGAAAAGAGGTCTTTGAAAACAACCTCTTGGTGAGTCAGCCTTCTTCCCAAATTACAGAAACTAAAGCAAAGTGGAAAATAATATTTTTTTAAAACTTTAAAATAACAGCAAAGAGCTTAACAAGATTTTGACTAAAAGTTATAAATAGATAAAGGGGACTGTACAAATTTGAAAGATTAATATTTTGGCAAAAGTGCTTTTGGTGCTATTTGGAATTAATTAAATAAATAGACCAAACCTTCATGGGAATGTTGATTGTTTGACATCAAAGGGAAAAGACAATTGGCAGAATTTACAAAACAAGGAGATAAGTATAATATGAGATCGAATGTGACATTTCTGTGACAGAAAGATAGATTGGACGAAAGCCTTAAAGGAACAGGTAGTCCCTGGGTTAAGAACGCCCAGGTTACAGATGACCCATAGTTAAGAAATGAGTGTATTGCAGCAAAATTCAAGTTAAATACGCAGTGATTTGAGTTAAATACACAATGGTTCGAGTTCATTACACAATACTACTTATAAGTATTATACAATAATACTATTATGGCTTACATACAAATTCAACTTAAGGTCAGACCTTGGGAACGGAACTCTTTCTTAAAATGTGGACTATTTGTATAGGAAAGGCGAAGGGGGGGGGGAGGAGAAGCTTGCCTTTTACTTTAATCTTCGTAATGATTTACTTTTACTTCTGGATTATCAATAAAATAATGGTGACCATCAGAAAAGCTGCGAGGCTTGGTGAGGGAAGGAGAGGATTGTTAGAGCAACCAACAGAAAAGGGAATTACTCCAGAAATATTACCAAAGATGTTTGAAGAGATGGGGAAACAAGTATCCAAATCTGTCAAATCTATTAAAAGTGAGCTGGTTGCTTTTGAAGTGAGAATGGAAGAAAGGTTTGTAAAATGGAAAGAGACAAAAGTTACCCCCAAAAATTGAAGAATCTATAGGACAACTTAGAGCAGAAGTTAAACAAATTAAGGCAAAGTGGAAATTTTAGAAAGCAAAACAGAAATAATAAATAGAGAGATGGAAAAGGACTTAGACAATCTGGCATTACTGGAATTGAAAGAATTTTGCTTGAGACTTAGAGCAGTCCAGAGGATCCTGAAGAAGACATCAGAGAAAAGGTTGTTCAATCTTTAACAAATGTTTTGGAATGGGATGATGATATGGAGGCAGAAACTGACAAAGCGTATAGAATCAATATGCAATTCTCAAAATTAAGAAATCTACCAAGGGATATTCTTGTGCACTTTGTCGGGAAGAAGACTAGAGCCAAGTTTTGCAGCAGCATTTTACTACTAGACTAAAGATTAATAATGCAGATGTGATTGTACCTAAAGAAATCCTGATTAGAATACTGCTCAAACAAAAAGAGTGTTTTTCCCCCTAACTAACAAGCTCAAACAGAAAGGCGTGATCTTCACATTTTATTATGCCTGGTAGACTTGCAAAAAAGCCAGAAAATTTTGGGTTCAAATACATACAGTGATACAAAGAATTTTAAAGATTAATATTCAATTGAAACCAGAACTCTTCTTGTTGGGACTAATGGATAGACAGTTAGAAAAGAGTTATGGAAGATTGTTTTTATATATAACTGCTGTGAGATTATATGCACAAAAACAGAAAGACTCTGCTTGCAAAAAAGCCAGAAAATTTTGGGTTCAAATACATACAGTGATACAAAGAATTTTAAAGATTAATATTCAATTGAAACCAGAACTCTTCTTGTTGGGACTAATGGATAGACAGTTAGAAAAGAGTTATGGAAGATTGTTTTTATATATAACTGCTGTGAGATTATATGCACAAAAACAGAAAGACTCTGAAATACCCACAATTGAGGAATGGCTGATGAGGATGACAGAATTAGGAGAGATGGCAAAATTGACTAGTTTGATTAGAGAAAGGACAATGACTACATTTATTAGTGACTGTAAATCCCTTATGGACTTTTTGCTGAAAAAAGAAAAAAATGAACTTGCAATTTATAGGTTTGATGATTAGAAAGGGTAGACTATGGAAAGAAGGAAATTATGTTGTAACCTTAGAGA